GCTTCAACTTCCATACGTACCTCATCATTCCACCATAACGTATTGTCTTTCCTGTCATTTGTTCTCTTACTAACACCACATACTTCGGTAGCTGCATCCACTAAACCTTTCTTAACATTATGCCACACATTCTCCAAGTCTAACTCATTCACACACAATTCATCCAGATCACTTATATTTTCTCTTGTGTACTTACTGTGTTCTGTAACTGTCCTTCGCATCTTCATCTTGTAACCTCTCAATTCTTATACGCTGTAACGTTTATGTTACTCTTATCTATTTATCTATTATCTCTCTTAGCTATTATCACACTCACTCACAGTTATGAAATCTATCATGCTTCTAGCATCACCTCTTTTCCACGTATACATGTAATTCATCTTATGACGAAAAAAAAAGTGTTGGTCACAGAAAGAGTCTTTTCCACACATACGCTGAGGAGGCTTTTACTATTTTCATTTATACTTTCATCACCAAACTTTCCCAATATCCTGTCATAGCCAAGCCTCCGCATCCCAACCCTTCCATTAAAATCTCCTAACATAAGAATATTTTCATTTTCCTGACATTTCATTAACACCACCCTTACCATCTCCCAAAACTGGTCTCGGATATAAGTGGGCTTAGACATGTCTGGGGCGTAGACCCCTAGAACAAACAACTTCAAAAAAGTAAGTATATGACTATTCGTTATACATATTTTTATCGTATATTGTAATTTATCAATCATATAATATTTGTTTTACTATTTGAGTGTAGTAGGTAGTTATGTAGTAAAAATTAAATACTAGAGATTATTCAAAACTTCTATAAAAGAACAAAAAACCAGGGAAGATTAAATTTTAGTTACCTAGGTACTTTTTTTGTTTAAAAATATTTATTTACGCGACAACGGCGATTCATCACCGCAAAAGAGCGGTGTTTCCGCGGATATTTTTTTGTATTGCAATAATTCTATTATGTTGTGTTATAATAGCCATATTCTGGTAAAATCGCTTTAAAAAAACAAACATTTTTATAGGTCACAACTGATACGGAAAATGTCTGAATCTAAGAAGAAATATCAACAGTACAGTATTGATTATTTGAAATTTGGTTTTCTTCCATCAACGGCAGACAAACTATTGCCCATATGTCTTTTATGCAACAAAGTTCTGAGCAATAACTCTATGAAACCATTGAAGAATCCTGAAAAAAATAGGTAAAGATCTGAAATACTTTCAAACATTGAAGGAAAAATATGAAGAGAGATCTACCGTAAATAGTAAAAATAAGTTAATAGACTAAACAGACAACTAATGGTAAACATGAGTCACAGACTACAGTAACATAGGCACATCTGTCATCTAATGATTTCAAAAGGTAAGATAGGCCCATCTAAATATTTTACTCATATCTTTTTCATACAAGAAAAAGTAGCGCATCTGTCATAATACAAACGTCATATTAAACACGGCGTAACCAGGGTCGGATTTCGTATAGTATACATAACATCGTAATAATACTAAGCAAAAATACCAGAATTTTACCTAAAGGTCGACTTGTATTATTATTGGGTCCTTTTACATTTTAATATTAACCCTACGATATCGAGAATTTCTGTTGTACATGAGTACCGCGTTTTTTTAATAAAATTAGAATTAGATCCATTTCTGGTCAATCGATGCTCGATCGAGGCATTTATGTTGCATCCTTGATACAACTATAATTAGGGGCTACCACGATAAAAACTCTATACTCCAGAAGCAATCGGTTTGAAAACAGAATTTCAAAATATTTTATGAATTAATTCAAATATATTATGAATCAGATTTTCAAATTCAATTAAGCAGATATGGTTTCTTTTATACTCTTTTCGTTTTACCCTTATTGAATATAAAATATATTAGGTACAAATATCAAAATTTAACTTACACTAAGTTCTTTAGACAAAAATTAAACAGAAATAAAAATAAAACCGTCAAAAAACGAAACGTATAGATAAACCAGACGGGTTACGCAAAAATCCCGGCACATGGGAAAAAAGAAACATGAAACGTCAAACGTGATATAATTAAAAAAAAATAGTATACGTTTATTTTCCATGTACAATATTTTTGAGGGTCTGAATCCAACCCTGGCCTAATCTTGGTAACGTAACTAAACTAACTGTAAAATAAAACTTTAAAAATGCGTTTCTATAATAATTTAATTGTAACAAAAATAATATAAGGTTATTTACCGACGATACGATATCCCATGTTTTTTTTAAATCTTTGTATCGTAATTTTTGCATTCTTTTACCACGCAACTAGACATATTTGTGACAGGCAAATCTGTCCTGCGCGCGCACTACTGTCGACCGATTCGCGTTGGCCCTAAACTGTAATTTCAGGGCCAGCGCACTGGTCCGTTTTAGTTGTTCGGTCGGCCCGGTCCTTACGCTAGTAACATATAAGTCAATGATGTCATCATTTATAAATTGTATAATATTTTATGTCAAATTATTCAAGTCATGAAATAAAGCAAGCACAGAAAAGCTACAAACACATTTAAAATTTAAAAACTTCTTGGTCATCTAAGTATTCCTTGACTGAATAAAAGCACCTAGTGAAAAGCCAGGAATGTAACTTTCTTTTAAACAATGGTAGTGGCAGAGCTTTGCAACTTGGATGGAGCTTATTATAAATTTTAATAGCCATACAATACCTAGGCTGCACTAAAAGTATCGGGAATGGAATATTTCCACTGTTCCTGTCATATTAAAATCTTTTTAATTGAAAACTCCTTGGTTTTAAAAATCGAATAACATTTATTTATTTAAAAAAAAGATTCTCGGTCTTGTCACAAGGTTTTGTCAAACTTGTTTAGTCGTTGAGAAAATGGAATTGGCTCGAGAAAATTCAAGAGCGATGATTTATTATGACTTTCGAAGTGGTTTAACACAAAAACAGTGTGTTGACCGGATGATTTCTGCATTTGGTGATGAAACCCCAACCAAAACCACAATTTATCGCTGGTTTGCTGAATTTCAACGTGGACGTGTCAAGCTTAGTGATGATCCCTGTCAAGGTCGTCCAAAAACTGCAATCACCCCAGAAAATGTTACCGCGAAATTCAGGCAACTTTAGACATTGGCATGAGTCAAATACAAATAATCTTGCATGAACAATTAGGTGTAAAAAAGTTGTTTTCCCGATGGATACCGCATTCGCTCTGTGAAGAGCAAAAAGCGGCTCGCGTTACTTGGTGCGTTAGAACTCTCGAAAGATTCCACGCAGGATCCTCAAATGCTGTATACAACATTGTATCAGGTGACGAACCCTGGATATACACGTACGAACCCGAAAACCAAGTTACAAGTTTGGGTGTTCGAAAATAAGTTAAAGCCAACAAAAATTGTTTAAGTTAAAGTGCACATTGCTCTAAGTAACAAAATAATTTTTTATTGATATTTTAAGTAATTTACAGTCTCCTAGTTTACAGTTTTTACTATTTTTGTGTATTTAAATACATACATTGTCGGTTTAACTCCCCTTAACCCTCGGTTGGTCGCGCTTTTAAACTTACGCGGTTGGCGCGTTGGGCGCGTCAAAATTTAACAGCGTAGAAAACACCTTACAATTATTATTTTCTTATTTAGTTTATCATATAATTTATTCATATTACTTGAATAAAAAGACTATAATTTATTAGAAAATAAATGTTTATTAACTCCTTGAAACTTAAAATTAGAAAATAGGAACAAAATTTTTAGTGTTTTACATGACAGAGAAAAAAATATATTTCTTGTAATAAAAAAAACAATCGTGTTAACATTTTTTTTGGTATTTTAAGGCATTATTTAACAATATAAAAAGAAATGTAAGTAGATCCAACAAAAAAAATATATACTTTTGCGTTTCAAATTCACACTAATTTTCCGTTTGAACACAGTCAGTACATACTGATTTTGAATGTATTGGACATATATTTCCCTTACAAAAAAGGCAGATAGTTTTAAATTTTCTATCTGTTCCGCTGGTGCAGTGAATACATCGTTTCCTCATAGGTACGAAAACAGTATCTTCGTGAGGAACATCCACGGGACGAGGTACGAATCGCAGAATAAACTGTTTCAATTCGCGTGGCAAAGTCGATATAGTGAGTGGCCCGCGATTCCAACTAAGGACGACATTGTTCGAATGCAAGTGTTTTCAGGAATAACTTGCGACCTATTCGGTTTTTAGGATTTACAGTATCCAATATTATGTGGGCATTTACCGCTCCAACATCGAGCATTGTAAAGAACAACCTCAACGGCCATCGGTAGCAAACGCGTGCAACAGTGTAAGTTCCGATAAGTTTATCCACCACGTCCACTCCACCTTTCCTTTTATTATAAAAAATTATGATTTCTGGTATCTTTTTCTCAGATGTCCCATCTATTATACCCTCATTGTGCATAGTTGAAAGTAGTAACACTGTTTTATCCTTTTTTTGGGCAGTATGAGAGCAAAGTCTCTGTCGGTTAATATCCAAACGCTGTGGAATATACTTCCAAGCCTTTTCGCTTGAATTCACTTGGAATTTCTGGTTTATTTTGTCTCAATGTACCCACTACTGTCAAATTATGATTTGTCAATAGGTCCTCAGCTAATGGAACACTAGTAAACCAGTTATCCATGGTCACATTTCGTCCTGTACCTGATATTGATTGGTTCAATCATTCGTTTGACAAGAGCTTTTGTTGAAGTATCTTGAAAGTAGGGACCTTCTGGCTGTTTTCCGACATATATTTCAAAGTTTTTTGTGTAGAATGTCATGGCATCCACTAGAGAAAACAACTTTATGCCATGTTTAGTTTGCTTGGCATATATTGGCGAAATCCACACGAGCCTCTAAAACTCTCCAACATTTCATCTATAGTAACATATTCAGTGTTCTTGTAATTTGTCTGGCAATTTTTTACAAATTGCTCAAATATCTCTCTTATTGGCGCCAGTTTGTCAACGGCTTTGCGTTGTTCCCATGTATGAATATTATCGAATCGGAGGACTCTTAATAAAAAACGAAAACGTTGCTTGGACAGCAGTAGCACGGCATTTATCTAACCCCGTACCATCAGTCATCCAAATATCATCAATCAAAGCATGTGACGATTTATGAATACCAATCAGATACATAATACCAATTAACGCTTTTAGCTCAATGATATTGGTCTCCTCACAGTCACGCTGCCTCTCGTAATTTGTCTGCATAGATGCTATCTTTATATTCGTGCACTCCACAATATGCTGCAATATATCAACGTCCAAAAACAAAAGCCAAGATTCAAAGGGGTTACTCACCGCCTGAGCTGTACCCTGTGGGCCTGGTTGCTCTGTAACTATATTCTGTCTCCTTGTTCTGATATCCTGTGGGTACGGTGTCTTCCTCCATTTGCAAATTGTTTTATAGTGGCCACTTTTATCTTTTTTTTTGACAAAATAAAAGTTCTGTGATGACATGTGGATCAATGGCTCATTATCATCACTATCCGAACTATCTACATCCATTTGTTGGTCTTCGGACGATTCTGACACATGATCCTGAGTTTCTGGATCACCATCATCACATTCTTGCTCTGAATCCGTGTTGTGTTCGCTTGTTTCGTCCGGGTATATATGATTTCCATCTTCATCATCCTCTCCACCAAGAATCTCCTCTTCCTCCCCTCCAACCAGTGCAATATGCGTTCTTGTTGTCGAGCGTCCATTATAGTAACTAAAAAGCGTAAAACAACACAAAAATCATCAAAACATCATGTGCTACAAGTAAATAAAAAATAAGTTCCAATCACTTTTTACTTACGCGGTTAGTCGCGTGGGGTCTTTGAAAGCCTATGCACAAAATAACCTTCCGTATCTCACGACGCCTGCGCGGGCACTGAACTTAGCAGCGATCAGCGGAAACTATAATCAAACTTAGGAGGGTACCTGGAATTTCAAGTTTCTATGATAGTATTAACAATAAAATATTTGCATTTTAAAAATACCTAGGCTTTTAAAGACCCCACGCGACCAACCGAGGGTTAATGGTTAGACTGTGATAAAGTTACATCACCCTACCACCGGTCACTTTCAACTCTCACAACACACCAGAAGATAAGTTTTCAAGAAAATGTCCACTATTGCCGAGTTAGCAAATATCCAAAAGGCTGCGTTAACTTCTCCTAATCAACGTATGGCGGAATTTGAAGCACTTATAAAAAAAAATCTGCCCCCACGGTTCCTGACATGAAATCTCTCTCAAGCGACTTTCAAGCGTTTAAGGATAATGTTTGGCAAATCATGTCACTACTACACCAGAAGATCAATGAGGATAGTCAAACTATTGACAATATTGAGATGCGGCATCGGAGAAAATATTTGTTGCTAAATGGAGTTCCGGAATCATCTGATGAAAACATCTTAAATAAAGTTGTAACTGTCCTGCAGGATAAGCTTCAACCACAGGAATTTTCTTCAAGCTCCATTACGGCTTGCCATTATCTAGGTGCAGTATCGGAAGCTCGTGCAAGACCAGTTCTGATTCGGTTTAGTGATCATTCCATTAAGTCAACCATTTGGGCCAAAAAGACTATGTTAAAAGGCACTTCATATGTGCTGTCCGAGTTTCTTACTCGTCAGCGTCAAGGCTAATTCATTGCTGCACGTAAGCACTTTGGTATTAGACAAGTTTGGTCACTCGATGGTAATATACACGTCAAGTTGCCTTGTGGTAAGCGCCATCGGCTGACGGACACCAAGGACCTCGATGAGCTCATTACACAATATGAACTGCCTGCTGCATCGGATCGACCATCTGATTCTACGACGAACAAAGTGTCACCAATTGTTAACAGTGGTAGTGCACCTAAGTCGACGGTGAGGTCCAAGCGCATAATTCGCAACAAATAACTCTCATCGACTTCGCTTTATTCTCATGTTGGATTTAATTTGTAAGCCGTCATGTATATTTGTTATTTGTCTTATTATTATTGATAATAACTGGGTATATTTGTTACGATACTGTAATAATGGTAGCATAATAACGTAGACAGAGAATGCTAGGATCCTCTGTCTACGCATAACAACTTTTGTTTACCTACATATATATTTTTTTATTTTTTTTTATTAACTGGCTTTACGGCTCTTGTTTCTTGCCTTTCTGAGCCTAATATTTTGCTGAACTAAGACCATAGATAACATATTATAACTATAATATAATAACATAAGCGTAGACAGAGAAAACATAAGACATTTTCACAGATGTCAGATGACATAGACAGATGGTTATGTGGTTCGGCTTCGGTTGCATGGCCTTTTGCCATACTAACTACATTAGCATTACTATTGACAGAATATGTACACAAGTTATATTTGATTCAACTTTATTTTAGTTATATGTAATAATCTAGCCTAATTACTTATTACTTTGTTTTTTATTATATTTTCTTTAGTTGTTTACTTTTAAATGCTTCGCTCGTTTATTGATTTTCTTTTTTCTATTTTGTTTTAACTTGGCATTTGTTTTCTTTTACTTTCCTGGTGTTATTTTTAAGATTGTAAACAGTTAGCCGGATGGTGACGTATGGAGATATCCATCTATATTTAGTTATTTTTTGTAATATTCAGTTACATTTATTTGATATAATGTTATTATTTTATATATTTTATTATATAATATTAATTATTTTATTATTTTATGTAATTTTGTTTAATGTCAGATGATGAATTTTTTTATTCCACTTGCTACAGCTCCTCTTCCCTTTCACTTGTTGATGCTTCGGATGAGCCTGCCACGCTACGTACGCTAATATACGACGAATCTCAAAAGTTGTTAAACTGTTTTCACATTTGCCATTTAAATGCACAAAGTATTCCTCAACATACGTTGAGGAATACTTTGTGCATATCATACGGAGCTCCTGGATACTTTCTCTTCTAATGCAGTTCATGCTATACTCATATCCGAAAGCTGGCTCAAGCCTGAACTCTCTTCCACATTGAATAAAACTATTATTTACGGATTTTATCGCGTTTAATTACTTTAATTTATTTTTATTATTATCCCGAGACGTTTCGGGTGCTTTACAGCGCCCATGGTCACGGGGGGGACCATGGGCGCTGTAAAGCACCCGAAACGTCTCGGGATAATAATAAAAATAAATTAAAGTAATTAAACGCGATAAAATCCGTAAATAATAGTTTTATTCAATGTGTAGTGTTCGCGTAAATTTAAGAAATCTCTTCCACATCTTATAGTCTTCCAGGTTATATTTTACTCCGTAATGACCGCACTGGTAAAAGAGGCACATCAACACATCTTCTTCTCTATATTCCGGTTCAATGGAATAAATTTTTGTTGAAGTTAATGTCAAGAGTGTTAAAGTGTTTCTTGGAGTTGTCTACTGTCCACCTCAAGTGGACTATTTCTCCGATTTGGAAGTAAATTTTTTTGCCTTAACAGTTCTGCCTACACACATCACATTATCATGGGAGACTTTAACACTGACCTATCTGGGGTTTCTCTTAAATCTTCGAAACTGAGGTCGACCATGTTGTCGCATAATTTCATTATTTTGCCTCTAAATGTAACACATCGCAACTTCCACTCTGCCGACACCTGGATTGACCTTATAGCCGTCTCCTCCGTTGATCACGTTGTAGATTATAGACAATTCCCTGCTTCTGGGTTTTCACGGCATCACCTGCTTTATCTGTCATATAAATTAAAGTCTCCCAAGCCTTTATCTGTGTCCATCACTATTCGTAGTCTTGCTAGAATAGATATGGACAAGTTTAAATGCGATGCATATGCTATTAACTGGTCATCTGTATATACTGCTTCCTAGTTGATGAAAAAGTCGACTTCTTTAACAGCAACATATTAGGATTGTATAATAAACATGCTCCTAAACGTGTTGTTCGACTGAAGCGTCCTCCTGTTCCATAGATCCTGGTTGGGGTAAGATTGGCTATGGCTAAACGCGATAGAACTTTCCGTGCTTTCAGGAAGAATCGCACTGAGGTAAAGTGGCACGCATATAAAGCTGCAAGAAATCGATGCAATCAGATGGTGAGAGCTGCTAAATGCCGATATATCCACGAACAACTACTTAATTCATCTTCGGCTGATATATGGAAGTTTCTGAATACGCTTGGATATGGAAAATCGCAATTTGACTATAATAGCGTCACCTTTTCACCTGACGATTTTAATCGTCATTTTCTGTCTTCTCAAACAGTTTCTGATGATTCTAGAGCTAATATTATCTCTTTTATATCTTCCATGCCTCCTTATTCCCCTGAAACTTTCAATTTTACTCCTGTAGACGAAGACGAGGTACGCAAATCACTTTCCTCTATTAAATCGAAAGCCGTTGGATGTGATGATGTGAGTATGGTAATGGTTTTGCACGTGCTGGATTCTGTTTTACCCGTGATAACTCATATAATTAACTTTTCGCTGATGAATGGTGATTTTCCAACTCTCTGGCGTAAAGTCTTTATTATTTCCATCCTGAAAGCTACTGAATACAGTGCTTTATCTAATTTCAGACCAATTTCTATTCTGCCTTTTCTGTCCAAGGTTCTGGAAGCTGTTGCTCATAAACAGATTTCTGCTTTTGTTTTCTTAAAGAATATTTTTCCCCTTATCAGTCTGGTTTCCGCCCGGGTCATTCTACTACTACTGCTCTTCTCAAGGTTACGGAAGATATTCGTGAGGGGATGGAAAAATCAAAACTGACTGTTCTCATCCTAATTGATTTTTCTAATGCATTTTATGCTGTCGATCATGGTATCTTGTTAGCTCTTCTTTCTCATTTAAATATCTCATCTTCAGCTCATGAATGGTTCTCAACATATCTTCGAGGGCGCCAACAGGCTGTGCGTACTGGTCATATACTATCTGACTGGCGTCCCTCAAGGCGGTATTATCTCTCCTCTTCTGTTTTCCATTTTTATAAATCTCATCACACTAAATCTCAAGAGCTCTTACCATTTGTATACTGATGATCTGCAGTTATATGCGCAAGTGGAGCCTTCACATATCCTAAGTGCTATTTCACTGTTAAATGATGATTTGAAATATATCTCAGAATGGTCTACTGTGTATGGCATAAACGTGAACCCGTCTAAATGCCAAACGATAATCTTAGGTAGCTCAAGATTATTATCTAAACTGGATATTCCCACCCTACCATCAATTATGTTTAATAATAATGTCATACCATTCTCTACTAACGTAAAGAACCTTGGTCTGTACATCGATGGTTGCTTAACATGGAACAAACATATACAGGAGGTGAGTCGCAAAACTACTGGAACTTTGCGATCTCTATATCGATTTAAAAACTTTCTTCCCACCAATACCAAGATTTTACTTGTCCAATCACTTATTGTACCGATTATTGATTATGTCGATGTGTGTTGTTCAGACCTGTCTCAACTTCATCTTAAATGTACATTGGATCGTCTGTTTAACAACTTCATCAGATACATTTATGGTCTTCGTAAATACGACCATGTATCTTCCTTTTGTACACAGTTAAACTGGCTGCCTATCCGTCAGCGCAGATATGTTAGAATACTCTGCACCCTTTTTTGAACGATCCATGTGCTCCCGAGTATTTGAAATCTAAATTTTAATACCTGGGAGATTCTCATAATTTTTCTCTCCGTTCCTCGGCCAATCTTAAGTTGCTCACTCCTTTACACCGTACTGGTTATTTATCTCAC